TCAGGCAATACCTGGAGTGCCTCTGTTCATTCAGGTTTTTAAAACCAGTAACTGAAACAAATCAGCATTTGTTCACTGACTGGAAAGAAACCATGCAGACTCACCGTGACTGAAAAATCTGTCCTTTGGTGTCTATATGACTCCCTCCCCTGTCCTTCTCTAAAAAAAGAAGGGTCAAAGCAAAATGCTGGCAGCCCAGTGAAATCTTTGAAGAGACAGTATGGTTTCAGTTATGAGAGGATGGAAAAATGAGAACCCTGGGGATCTTTCGGGAACATTAAGCTTTATTAATCAGGAATGTATTAGCCACATACCAACATTCCCAAACGGTACACTGAATCAGAGAAACGCCAGGGAGCAACAGAACCCATCCAGGCTGCTCTGCCTTATGGCGAGTTCTAGTATGCCCTGAGAGATGGTTTTCCAAGCCATTCCTCAAAAAGGAAACCTCCCCTGATTCCACAGGATCTACAGGTTGTGCATCTCAGCACTTTACAACCAACGCAGTCGGAACATGGTTTTTAATGTGTAACTTGGTAATTTCCACTGCTCGTTGAACTGATTTCTTCAGGTCTTTCTCCCAGTGGATATGAAGAACAATTAATCACTGTGCTCCTGATTATAACTTTTCACTCACTAGAATATTTTTTTCATATTCTCCCTAACATATAACAAAAGCAACATCTTTAGAAGCATATATTGCCATGCAGGGCTCCTACATATCCTCTTGCCCCTGGACCAAATAATAATCAACCAGTTTGTGCTTTCTCAACAATTTTAACACTAGGACAATTTCTACCTTGACAAACATTTTTGACCTCTCCACATTTCCAGTGGGATTCCACAGGTAGAAATCAGGACAGAATTTATCCCCATGAGTTTCTGGATTAATGCCTTAGTATAGGAAGGGGAAAAGGCAAAATTAATTCTCTTTGTTAGTGCTAAAACAATTCCTCAGTGACAGTCAGCCCCAAGACATTGATCTTTGTTCAAAGGAAGCACACTTCCATACTTATTTCACATTTGTACACATCATCTCCAGCCTAGCTTCTACAAGCCACTATCTTCTGCATTTAAAAGAAAAAAAAAAAAAAAAAAAAAAAAAAAAAAAAAGGCTTAACAAACTATTGAGGGTTTACAGTTTGTCAAGAGGAATAGAAACTGGGAATTTGCAGGGCTCAGCAAAGCTCATCTTAGACATGAAATTCTACTTAAAACAGCAAGTTACAGGAAGGAAGGAGAGATCCCATATCCATCAGGAACCTTGAGGATTCTTGCGCTGCGAAGAACACAGTAGGGTAGCTTGTTTGTGGCTTCAAAACACTTCTTTCATTTAAAAGCAGTCTTGTGATGGATGAAGCCCTTCTCAGCCCTGACATCCTGACACTACACATGCAGTGTGCATTCTGGGATGCCAGCCTACTGTGTCACACTGGCTTGGGTTCTGCCTGTTCCTTTCCTTCTGCCTGCAAGCTCAACTGAATTTATGAAAATTCAAACTGTCTTCTGTCTGTTCCATACATCATCAGCAAACAATCACTAGACAAAATGAATTTGCTCTCTGTAATTTGGAGGCTATACAAATGTCTTTGCTGTATAATCAAAAAAAAAAAAAAAAAAAGGAATAAAGTTTGGTATGCCAGGTTAATTCACCATGGAGGAAAGTAGGTGAGAAACAGAGAACATGAACAATAAAATACTCAGTAGTGGGGAGAGCGACATGAGAAATACTCTGTAAATTAGAGTTGGCCTAGATACCTTTTGAGTGATGGACTTAAAGGCAGAAGAGAGTAGCGAAAGATCACCCCCATGAGTGGCTGTATCTCCAACTATTGTGATTTGTCTACACAGTATACTTGATAATAGTTACTATTTCTCCGCTAAGAGCTTTGCAAACACAAACTCAGTAGCTTTCACAAACCTCTACCAGTTTGAACCAGATTGAAAAAATGATCTGCTGAACAAGGCACAGTGAGGTTAAATGACTTGTCGAATACCCCTCAATGAGCCAGTACCCATTAGATTAGAGCACTGGATTTCTTGGTCAGTAATCAGATCACAAGGCTGCATGAGGCTGAAACCTTGACAAACCTCTCTCAACAAAAATAACGTGTTGTATACTCCTTATTGGCCTTAGCTGATGGCAATGAAGGCACATCCAGTGCGTCTCCTGTATGGGTTTTTCAGGTTGTGTGTACAGAATCTCTTTCTTCCACACACAATACGCCGTCATTGACTCATTCTAAAAATCCAGCAGGTGCTGAATGTGAGCAGAAGTAACTCCTCATGCTTGACTTCATCCTACCTGGGGTTAGTTGCAAACAGCAAAGTACGTAACCACATCCTTAAAGTTCAGTATTTGAGTAGTCCCATGGACCTCAAGGAATCTGCTTGCCTATCAACCCACGTAACTTTAGTACATAGAAACCACAGCCAGAGCACCCAACATAGCAAGAATCCAGCCCACAGACCTTTCCCATTAAGAGCACGCCTGCACTACATTTAGAAGGCTGTGTTTTTATGCAACTGCATGACAGATGTTCACGTGTTGTGAATCTCTATTTTCTTCTAATGTCATGTATCAAGTCAAGTATATTTTCCTGTTAGCTGAAAATTTGGCCCATTTTATATTAATCAGTTGCTTTACGGACATTCTGCCCTAAAGCCAGTTTTTTACCCTTCAATTAAAGAAATCCAGTTCAAAAAACCCCAGAAAACTAGCAGAGCACAGCTTGCCTTTTCTTCTTGCCATCTTCAGGTTAATACAGGAAAGCCATACTGGGAAGTTCACTTTAATAAAGACCACAGACTTAAAAGCACCTGATTAGAGTGAAAGAACATAGGAAACAAAAGATATCCTTAAAGCATGCTTTCCTCTATAAAGAAGGTACCTCATTTTTACTGTGCCAAATTACTAGTTACATGGACACAAGGTATAGTAAGAATCACAGCCTCATTTTACAGCGTACATGTGCATACATAAAAGTTCCCCACCTCGTTCTTCTGTATTCCAGAGACAAGCTGTATGACAAGGTTTCAGAAATTAGGAACAGCTAAAAGTTTACAGATGGGGTATTTTTTTATTAAAAAAAAAAAAAGAAAAAAAAAAGCAAACGATACAAGAAACTGAAAGGTCAGAAACTTGGACCTTTACTTCACAGAACTGAAAGAAAAACCATGAAGAACACAACAGACTTGGGAGTAATGATCCCACACTCCATTCCAAGCCTGACCACTGCTTTACTCCTGAGTAATCTGCTCAACATCTCTGCCTTGATGTGCTTGCCACCCTTAATAATAAAAAAAAATATTTCCTATACATGAGTTCTACACTTGCTTATTTATTTCCTCTCCAGAGCCTAGAGTCTCATATAAATAAAAAAAAAACCCGTTCCAACCAGCACTGATCATCAGGACCATATACTTCTACCTGGTATTCTGCCTTAGGGCTGTCCATGCAGGACTTACTGACCATCTGGATCCTAAAGATTCAAAGAATTTGCCTTAGTTCACTCTTCAGTCTGCTGCTTCATTTTGGAAAGAGAATTACTTCTACTTTCCAACAAAAATTCTCCTGGTTGTTCACAGAAAATTGCAAGACAACTTTGAAATTCTGTACTCATGGATTCAGAAGCATTTTCCCATTTTTCCACCCAACACCTCCCTTTAAATTGCTGCTGGACCCAGCAAATCCACAAGTGTTTTCAACTCAGCTAACCTGTGTAATTGCAAGGTTAACCTCTGGTGGCCATGGAAGCTGCTCATATTCAGGAATGATGAGCAGAAAATGTTAAATACCATTCACTGGCCACAGCCTGCAGTTAATACACAATATTTAAACAACACAATGGCACGGCCCTTGCCAGTAATGTAAAAACACAATGGAGCAGAGCCAGAATGGCACAATCTGCCTGCCTGAGTCATGCTTGGCTCTCCACACTGGAAGGGGCATGCATTAGCTGCCCACAGTGTACTGTACCCTTCAGCTAGTTTAAAATAAATCATTAAAATCCAATTAAAAAAAAAAAAGGGGGGGGGGGGGGAGGAAAAAATCCCATGTAATAGTTAAAATATTTTAATACTGAAGTACAGAAGTGTCACTCTGGAAGAAGGCTCTGGATTTCATTATAGACTGCAAATTTTGATCTTAAAAAAGAAAACAAACCGACTTTGCTTTGTAATATTCCACAGCTTTGTACTGTCCAACTAAAATCAATTTTTTCCTACTACCTACGAGCTCCTGAATTTTTATTCATGTATTATTTCATTAAATTCAGAGTATCTGAATGTACTCAATTTTCCAATCCTCTTTTGCATGCCAGTAGTTCAGCCACTGAAGTTCCAAATCTTAATTATTGTCCCAAATACATTCAATAAACAGATTCTATATAAGGGTAGATCAGACTGATGCACAATCTGACTTGCATTTATGGAATAACCATGCTCTCAGAAAGAGGCTCCTTTCTTGCAGAGAGACGCAAGACGTTCTTTTGACTGTTTTGTTGTGTCACAGCACAGACGAATTAAGCATTTCTGCCTTCATCTATACTCTAAAGTAGCTGAAGCCCCCTGTGATGTCATCAGAAAGTTGTTTGGCTTTTTGTTGTATAAAGGAGAAGAATTTGTTACGACATCACAAAAGGAGAATAAACTCTATTCTATACTATAAGGAATCTTCTGCTACTTTCTGTTATCTCTGCACCAGAGTGCAGAAATCCTCACTGACAAAGCAACAGGGACTGTAAGTCAAATACGGAGATGCACGCTATTCCTAATAATATTCAAAACAAAGCAGAAAAGAATTATCTGTTCAGGGGTCTGAAATTAAAGATCTGCAAGATGTAAGCTCGATTTTAATTTTTAAATAAAACATCCTTTGAACTTCTAAATCCCATTCAAGGGGACTCTGACCTTTATCCAAGACGAGCTACTGTGCTAACACTTTGGATGCATATAGAGGAAAAATACGGACAAAAGGTACCGGAAAAGCTTTTACTTACAGGAATGCAGTGCAGCTTAATCTTTTTGTTTTTAAGGTGCAGTGATTTCAGCATCTACAATGTAACTTCAGGCAGTCTGAAAAGAAACAGGTTAAAATCTCTTTCAGTTATAATTGGTATTTCAGATTTAATTAAAAATTAAACTTTCATAATGTTTCACCATCCAAAGCAATGCATTATCAGTCAAGCGTAGCCTTTTTTTTTTTTTTTGTTAAAAGAAGCTCTTCCCAGAGTAGTTTGCAATGAAAGAAGGGGAAAAAGGCAATTGAGAATAGCAAAATATATTTCTTCAGCAAAAGATCTCTGAATAGCTTGGAAAGAAGCCTTCTGCCACTTAATTTTAACAATCAACCTTATACTAATTAAAAAAAAAAAAGCATCACAATTAAAGAAGACAGAAAAACACCATCACATACCAACAACTGTGAGGGAAAAAAATGTTAATTTCAGCAAAACAAGGACATTGCTAGGACCAGAACATACGCACCAAAAGGAAAAATATGGTTTTACATAATGCCAGCCAACAACATTTTTTTTTTAAATTCATTCTACAGCATGTAGCACTTTCAGACTGTTGCATGGAGGTTAAAGTGTACACGGCAAAAGGTCCCTTGCACCCTTTTGTAAAGGGATACAAAACAGCTACTTTATAAAACTGCAAGGTTTCTTAACGTGTAAAATAAATGTCATTTTACTGTGCAAAATGGATGATTAAGAAGCATTAGCTGTAGACACAGCATCTGAACAGATGCAAAAGAAAAAATTTTTTTTTTAAAAAATGCAGTTGGAATGACAATAAAACTCCAGGGGTTGCACCATAAATATGAGTTTAAATGTTAGACTGGAGTTTAAAACCTGTGGTTTTAATTATACCTAATTATAAAGGCTCCAAAACCAGGAGAAATTAGCAAAATAAAAAATATTAATAATAAATTAAAACAATTTTGCAATAAGTTGTCAGGATTTGGCCCCATAATAACAAACCATACAGCAATATACACAGACTTCTACAATGTACCAATGATTCATTAAAGGAACAAATCAAAACTTCATTAAATTTTATTTTTAAAAGGTGACAGCAGAACTTGCCTAATTTACCCCATTCAAAGTCAAAGCTATTCTCTTCACCAGCAGCACACAGAGAGAGATCTGCAAATAAATCCTGGATGTGAATCTAATACTGAATTTCAATGTCCCACAGGCTGGGACGATTCCTAAGTGAAATTTTTCCTTTGCTCTCCCATGAGTAAAAATCCAGTTCTTCATACTTCAATGTTATATGAGCCTTCCCAATCCATCCCTACAGATGTTTAAAAAAGCAATACACTGCATCAGACTATGTACTGTCACACAAACACCTCCATACTCATGGCTATACCACAAATGGGAACAAGCTCAGGAACTTATTTTTAGGTTTCACTTTTCCACTCCGTCAAGACAAGGGGTACTGAAAAGCAGGAGGCAAAGCAGAGAGCACAAGAAGGGGACAGCACAGCAAGAATTATCAAATCTCATGCAGAAGTAATTCTTGAGCATTCAAATGAAGGAGCGAGAGCCCCCTGACAGAGGCACTAAGACGATGCTGGATAACTTTTATAGGCTTGGATGGAATTTATCTTGAAGGAACCATTTGAGAAATGTGTTCCTTGTCCTTTAGACAATCTTTATATCAAATAACTCTCCTTTTTTCTTCTGATTCCCATCTGTTAAGATAGGCAGAAAAACAGTGGAGAAATCCAGGAAAAAAATAAAAAAAGGTAAGTCCACCAAAAGCAGGCTACAGCCCAACTGCCAGATAAGTGATAACAGCTTCAGCCACTGAACTTCCATTTCTTTCCCTTCCTTCCCCTTCCAAATTTACCCCTTTTCTAATATCTCCACAGGACTGCAATATTGGCTTGCTGGCAGGGAAGGAGAGGGGCAGTGGTATTTGCAATCCAAAGCTATTTCTTTTAATGAATGCAATGAAAAACTGACCTCAACTGAGAAAACAAAGAGCATTCACTGAGGGTGAAATGTATCCCTGTATACAGGAGCCAGCATACAGACTGCACCACTGAAGCCCTATTCCGATGACCTAAATAGGAATAAATTGGTGCATGGACTTCATCACAGGGAGTTTTGTCCAAAATCCCTATTTTCTTGTAGAGAACGAGGAAGGCCTTTCCTAACAAAGCACAAAGGTCCAGCACCCCTTTCCCATGCTGGGCACTATCCTGACACCTGCTCCTCGGTGTATTTTCCTTGTAGATTTAACGTGAAGTCCTTCCTGCTTCGTCCACATTCTTCTGACTGGAATGCAAAAGGAGGAAATGCAACATCTAGCGTTACTCTGAGTTACTCCAAGGGCACGGTGCCTGGGGATAAAGAGGCCCCTCTCCTCAGGGCAGGCGTAACCAGCCTGTGCTACGATCCACCCATTAAAAGAAACAGAGCCTTGGAAACAGCTTGCTGTGAGAGCTTCACTGGCATCTTGAAAAACTTTAATCAAATAACCACAGTTAACAGAACACCTGACATACAACACACACAGCCAGAGCATCTTAAAGAGCTTTTTTAGATACAAGTTGGAGTTCAACACAGAGCAAAACTTACAGACAGCCTCAACAAACTGAGGAGTACCAGTCACTGCTGCTTTAGTAATATCTTCCTTTTACAAAGTGAGAAACCTGTGACCTCATGATGGAGTGATGTAGACAGGTATGTAGAAGCAAGGGGTAGAAATGGAGGCAGCTCCTTAAGCAGGAGGCCTGCATGCCTGCCCGTGGGTGAGCGTGCTTAGGACTGGGGCAGGAGACCCTGTCTGAAACGAGAGCCCTAAGCCCCACTGTGGAAAGCAAGAGACGTGGCTCAGGAACAGGCAGTGAACTTCTGCTTGAGGGAGGCCCAGGAGCTGGGGTTGCAAGAACGAGGAGTATGGCAAGTCAGGAATGAGGTACGTTGGTAGAGTGTTGTTAGCAGGAGAGCAAGTGTTAGCTCTCAGTCAAGGCTTTAAAAACAAGTATCAGAAGGCAAACATCTTTCACTTTGCTTTCTCGGGATTCTTGCTTGCCATAAAGTTTGTGCCGAGACCAGAAATTTTGAGAGCAAAGCTACTGACTGCACAATGACCAAAGTTCATTAACAATATTCCATGACTTGTATGGCACCCAACTCTACTGTGCCTGACTCGGTCTAGTCCCCCAGTTTCGTAAGAACCACATTCATTCCATCTAGAACTTAAAGACAAGAAAAAAAAAGTAACATTTGCGATTGGAAAACATTTCAGAAAATGTCAGCCTTCTGCAACATCTTAGCAATATGGAAGTTGCATATCTGTAAGGGCTTGATTTTCCTTCGACACCTGAAGCCGGCTGCGGCAGGTTAATGAGAATCATGTACAGCTGATTAGTTATGAGGAGAGAGAAGCCTATGAGAAAATATAGTACAACACTTACTGATACCTTTTGCATTTTCTACATAGAATTTACAAAATCAGTCAACTGATCTTTTTCAAAGTACTTGCTTGTATCATTGCTCTCACTTTGGAAACTGAAAATCAATGCTGAAGCAACTGCTACAAATAACTATTCACAGAAAGTAAAATACTCATGTCCTTACTCAGGAGAAAACTCAATGATAATATTAAGAAAGCCTTCAAAAAGCAGGGAAGGGGTGTGGGG